CAGGCGAAACAAACTGTGCAGCTCAGGCCTAATTACAGAATGAACGCTGTTGTTTGTTGCTTAATTACTAAACAATAAAACGGTTGTGAGGCAGTTGTACATTTTTTCATCCCTCACCCACCCTGTTGATGAGGGAACAACAAACGCTTACAGCAATGCTTGATCCGTTCTCATATCTGTCACCTAGTCCTTTCAGGAACTTCCCAATTAAGTGAATTTCCATTGGCACAAAATAAAGGCCGTGACACTTTGTTTCAGTAATAAGCAAGACTGTAACACCTTGTGTAAGAAGGTGTCAACAGAACTGAGGTGCTAATTGAATTAACAAGTGACTTTATACGAGACATGCCTCTCTCCTTCAAAGCTGTATGACATACTGTCAGCTATGAAGATGGATAAAAAGTTCAGACAATATTCAGGCTTTGAGATGGCTGCTACGCTATAGCTATGTGGTGTTTTTGTCCATTTAATAGATAACAGCATGTCATACAGTGTCAGAAACCACATAAGCAAATCTATTTGTGATTGCTTAACAATCTGACACAGTTTTAGGGAAGCATGTGGTGATTCAGGTATGCAGTTAGCATGATGCTAATTGGTGGTATTACTTGTTTGCTTGAACAGCTTTGTTGCTCCAGCACAAAACTAAAGAAGTAAACTTTAAAATGTCTTGGCTGATAGACTACATTTTGGAGTAAACTGGTCAAATTTGATTTTTCATTTATCATTGACTGTTGAATTACTTTATTGTTCATGTGACTTTTTGAGTGAGCTCTGGAGCTCATTCAGAGCACAGTTTAGCTTGTTAAGCACTTATTATTAATTCGTCTGATTAGAAAAATGATTAGAAATTAGAAAAATGCTACTATGCCTCTTCATGTGTTTTCTTATTCAAAAAAGGTAAACCAAATAAAAATGGACCAATTGTTGACTTTGTTAGATCATATTATTACAGTAAGGGTGGGCGAAATAGATAACGTGATATATATATATATATATATATATATATATAAACAGCAAGACCTCATTTAAAGGCTGTAAAAACTATGCTTACAATGTTTCAACATTTGCAATCTAAGAATTTAAAATTGAATGTAAGAAACAAGAAAACCAATCAAGCAGTTCTTAAAAGTAAACTAGAAAAAGTGCATTTCCTGAAGTAACTGCAGAGTGATTGCGCAGCTTAAGCTTGCTAAGATGTTGCTAGGTGGTCGTTATGGTAACCCCGGTGGTTGCTAGAGTGTTGACACGTGGTTGCTATGGTATCCCAGGTGGTTGCTAGTAGGGCTGGGTGATAAATTGAATTTTATTTTCGATTACAATTTTGGCTTCCAATGATTATGAAAACAAGATAATCGATTAAAAAAATGAATAAACAACTACTGTGCCTCATTCCATTTTGCAGTGTTCTCGTTTTGCCTTGTGTTTTCTTAGTTTTCCTTTTATTTGTTTTTCAGTTGAATTTAAAGAATTTAAAGGAAATTTGCTGTTAAAAAGAAGTTTTTTTTTAAGTTCAGTAAATGCATGATGTTTCCAAAGTCAATGAGTAATTATGTTTAAATAATCGTGATCTCAATATTCACCGAAATAATTGTGATTATGATTTTTGCTATAATCAAGCAGCCCTAGTTGCTAGGGAGTTGCTAAGTGGTTGCTGGTGGTTTATAGAGTGTTACAAATGGACTTCTTTCTCGTAATATAAGCTGGGTGCTGACACTTTTGCGCCCCATTGGATCCTATGGGGAAAAAATTATCATTTAACAATGATTGTAACAAAACCATATGTCTGATCAAAAAGCTCTATACACACCATTCCTAATCCGACCAAACAATCCAGAATTGGAACAGTGTCAATATCCCAAAAACTGTAGGATAAGTTAGTGGACAAAGATCTGGCAGAAAAAGAAGAATACACCATCGCATAACAATAGTGTTTTCACTAATCACTGATTAATAAGATGAGATGATGTCACAAAGGGCTGACATACAGTTAGATACTTGCTAAGGCCAATACACATCAAAAGTTACATGAATAAATGACATGAAAATGTGAATTCTTTAGTTACAATTTTTACAAACACCTATGAAAACTGGAAATGGCACAATTTATTGTGGGGAAATATTGTTTGTGCAGTGGGCAGGGAAAGGAGAACGGGGAGTTTTACTGCCTTATTCTGGAGCTAAAGCTTGTGTGCTGTCACTCACAGCTGGGATCTACAGAGCTCAGTTTGAACTGCTTTTGGAGATGCACATCCACACTTGGCACAAAACAAACAGACCGAATGTCTTTAAGAGCAAGTAAGACATCTTATGCGCTTAGTGTGAAGAGTTTCGCTTCGTTCAGAAGCTGAAACTTTGAGTGCTTCCACATGTTTGTAGTCCAGTTTGAGCTGTTTTGGGAGAAAAAGTTTCAGTTGCTGGGACACAGCTGATCCGTCATCATGGTTATTGCCATGATAATGGATCATGGTTAGGGTTGACTGTTGGTCAGACAGTTAATGTCACCAGTAGAAGAAGCAGAAATCAATAATGTTGCAAATTCGCCTTCTGAAAAATTGCATTTAGGGTGCGAGATATTATCAGTGTGTAAACACCTTTATGCTGCAGCTTATGTAGTTATTAAACAATGTCTTTTTATGATATAGTTGTTCAGTGTTCTAGAACTACTGACAATACCTGTGACATACTCAGAAAAGCATTTGTGAAGTTATCACATTAATGATAACGTATCGTCATATCGCCCACCCCTAGTGCACAGCATAGTCAAACATTTTTGAACCTAATAGGAAGTGCACGTTTTAGACATTGCAGAGTAGAGATAAAGCCAGAACTGCACTTATCTGTTGTCTGATCTCTTTTGGCAGAAGTGCACGGAAGGCTTTGCTAGCAACATCATAAACAGTGGTGGTGCCATTGCCATGCGGAGACCGTCTTTGTGCTGCTGCAGTGCTGCAAGAGCCTCCGTTAGGACAAATTATTTATTACGTTCTCCTCAGAGGCCTGCGCTGGCAGCCTCCCATCTCTTCAATATAGTGGAGCACGACACCATACCACACGCTTCCATTAAGAGCTGAAATATGGCGCGCCATATTCCCAACAAGTGCCTCATTTGATAAACTCTTTGAGAAAAGAGATAGCAGCCACTTTAATACAGAAAAAATAAAATGTTTATTTGTTTTATCGGTTGCTAATGCGTTAAAAGGTGCCCCCTCTGACCCGATCCTCTCCGAGTAAATACAACAGGAAATATGAGGTTATTTATCTGAGGTTTCCCTTTCATTTAAAAAAAATGGTAAATTAAAAAAAAAAGAAGAAAACTGTTCTTGGCAACAGAATCTCTTTATCTCCCTCCTCTATACATCGACAATCAACGATTCTGCAAAGGCAATAAATGCGATCCAAAGAACGGTCAGACATTCCACAGAAGAAAACAACTATACATATACATGTCGTGACATTTACCTCTACCTAGTTATATAAAAAATGTACAGTGTCACATTTTTGTGTCTCAGTGCAAGTTCAGGAAGGAACAGAAATAACGGAAAAAAGAAAATCTGTGCCTCATGGCCCGTCCCAAAGTCCATACTTGTGGTTGCGTGTACTTGTAAGTGCACTCGTGCTTTAAATGTCCAAGTGTGTCCCATTTCACTAAACGCAAACACTTTCCAATATCCCATCAAATCAGAAATAGACCTCGGAAGTTGGGCATCATTCTGTAATTGCTGTCTTGCTTGTATTAGGATCTCAGGATCTAAGCTGGTTTTCTCAGTGATGAAAATGGTGTTTCAGAAAAATTGCCTCCATAGTGCTCTGTGGTAAACACAAATTCTCCAAACCTGAAACATTTTGTTCTGTGTACCTTTCCCCCGAATGTCACTGAGTCATTTAGCAATAAAAAAACAAATAATGCTATATGCTACAAGCAAGGAATACATCTGCACACTGAAACGATGTCACATGAAAATAAGTGTTATTAAACTAACACTGTTATACCAACGTCAGCTATTCAAACTGTTAGCTGCTACTGCCAAAGCAACTTAACTACCACATTTGACAAAGTTTGCTGGTTTGTGTGGGGTTGTACTAGGAGGTTGCCACCGTCATAAAAATATCTACTCAGTGCACAGCAGTGTTCGCTTGCATGTAGCAGTAGTTGTGTTTTGGCTCCATACTTCAGTGGATCCAGCAATGTTCAAATGAAAAATGTCGATATGACAACGTACCAGCTTTAGAACATTTTGTGAACCACATGGCAGTGATTTTCAAAAGATTTCTATAGAGAAAACCAGCCTAGACCTGATATGTGAATGACAACACATGTTCAGAGGTCTATAGGCCAAGTTTATATCCCACAGTTTAAAAAAAAAAACTTTCACAAAAAGTTAAAATTGTGGGAACTTCTGCAACTGGCTGTACCAGATCAGCACACGTGGTCCTAATCTTTTCCAGACACTGCCTCAGAATGCACTTAAAGTCAACCAGAAGCCAAAATTTGACATTACCTTGTTAGTTCATGCACCTGTTCATATTAAGCACAATTCTTCATTTAAAAGGTAAAGTGTAGTGACTTTTGCCCAAAACATTTTCTCATTTTGATTATGTCACGATGCACCAGCAGGCGAGGAATGACCAACCAATAATGTCATGTTTCACCTTTTTTTTCCCCAGCAATCATTGAGCGAAATGGTCAGCGAGCACCAAGACCCTAAATAATACACTGAGTGGCCTGCATAGGCATGAAACTGAAGCCCAAATCCGACCTGTACCAGTAACTTTGAGACCTGACCCGACCAGGCCTGACTGGTACTGCTAAATTTGAAATCCAAATACAATTATCTAACTCACGATAACCTAGAAGCCCAGATTATCACAAACGCAATTTTATAGCGCTTTGCTTTGTTAATTAGCTCCCGAATTGACTGACAGAAAATGAACAAGAATAGCAAAAAAAACTACACACTTATCTGAAAACTGAGTTTTTGCTGTACATTGAATTAACTGCTGGGAGCAAGGACTGAGATACTGATGTTGTTTCTGCAGAATAGCTGCGTCCACAGTAAATGTGTCACTGAAGAGGCGACATTAGTTCCATCGTAGCTCAAAAGGCTATCACAAGCTCAAAACTGTATGTGGCCAGTGTACTTTTGATCTGATGTTACAACCAGGTTAGAATGTTTTCACAAACATTTCCCTGACTCTGTGAATGTGTATGTGACAAACAGGCCGTTGCCCAACCCGGAACTCAATATTTTGTTGGGCCACGTGGTAGACCTCCTCTCAGAAATACATCACTGTATGAAAGGAAAACGCGCTGTGATTTCCGTTTCACGTCAACTTTAAGCAAGAACGTAAACAACAAGCGTGGACTTTGGAAGAGGCCACTCAAATATATATCCACAAACTGTCTTCTCTAATGTCAGCCAAACCCTAAAATAGTTTTGGTCTTTTTGGATTCCAGAGTTAACAATAAATAATTACATGACACGTCTGTACAGTCACCGTCAAATAGCAGCAGCATGTTCAGCTTAGACTTCTTAAAAAGAAACAACAGTGCAATACTGTTACCACCACAAACCATCCCAACATACCAGCAATGGAAAAAATGCTAATAAGAGTAGTAACAATAAAGAAATCAAAAGTAAACATAACAAACAGAAAACAACTCAAGTGTATTTACGTGTTCCCTCAGTCCGATTTTATTTACAGTGTGATGACGAGTTCTCTGGCTTTGTTTTCCCTTTTTTTTCAATTCCAAAGGGAGGAGAGAAAAGGCAAACAGATGTCCGTGTGTTTGAGAAGCGTGTGGAGTGTTATCAGCTGGTGCAGATGCTGTTGATGGTGATGATGGCCGGATCCACCAGGCCCATCTCCTCGTGCTCGTTGACACAGAGCTGGTAGCCACAGCCTCGGCGGCGCTTCAGTGGGGTCACTTTGGCGTCGGGCTTGGCGCGTGGTGGCAGCAGGAAGCCCACACTGCCTGCGATCAGCATGTGCCAGATGCTGTGGATGTAGAAGTAGTTCTCCTCTGTCTCCACAAAGGCATACAGTGCCACGGCCGACGTGGCGATCATGGTGCCTGGGAAGAGGAAGAAGACCCAGCGCTTCCAGGTGGGTGGATAGCAGCGGCGACGGCGGATGGTACGCACAGTCTGAAAAAAAATGTAATTGTAAATTAGAATTTTTATATGCAAATTTGCTTCTTTCTGATGTTATACATTCACATACATAAGAACGATGAAATGTATCAGCTCTAACTTCCACCAGAGGGCAGTGTAAAACCTGTGTCTTATCTGTTTAGCTTTATTAGACGCTGTATTATTTATGAAATACTACTGCAGCTGACTAAACACACTGGTTGAGGAGCTCAGATGGTCTCTGGCGCTGAGTAGCAGAGTACAAAGCACAGCTGTAGCACATAGGAAGCATCACAGAAAAGCACTGATAACCAAGAAGCTGTACTCTTGGAATCCTAATGGAATAAAACTCCATCTTGAGTTTTCTTGTTTAAGTGATCTGATCATAGTCTGATCACAGTGCGTCCTGGTGTGTTTACACCTGGCTTTTCATGTGGTCAGCGCAATCCAAACTTGATGCAATGTGTTACATTTGCAATGTGATCATTTTTTCCTGTAACAATGTAGTGTAATGAATTTAGTTATACTCGTGTCTTTAAGACAAGTAAATTAAATATATGCACTGCATTTAAAATATACACTCTGCTAAAATAAAACCTCTGCTACTGTTTCATGCTCTGTATTCTGATCATGTTATTTTGCTCATGTGAGCGTTTTTATAGTCATTTTTTTTCTTGTGTGGACATTTTTGAAAAAGTAAGCTCTTAAAAACATAAACATACTGTTATGTATAAAATGAAGAAAAGTATATCTCCTAGCTAAATACAGTAGTAACTTGCATCTTGGAGCCTGAATTTTGTCCAAGATTATAATTTGAGATTTGTTAACTTGGCGCTGTATAACACCAGCGTGTTACAACAGGCATGCAGTTAGTATAATGCTAATTGATATATAATCTTCCATTACTTGCTAGCTACATTAGCCATTACACAACTAAAGAAGTAAACTTCAGACACCAGACTTGTCTTGGTTGATCGCTGACATTCAGGATAAGTGCAAAACTGATGTAATTTTTTACCTGCTCATACTCAACAGACCAAAGTACAGGATGTACTTGATATACCCAAATGTGCAGCAAGAATAATACATTCTCCTGTCCTCTCACATATTTTGTTCCATTTGTGCTCACCAGTCTTTGATGTTCATTACCTTCTTCAATGCAGTAAACAAGATTTTGCCCAAGGTTACAAATACAGACAAAGTTATACATGACATTAGCACAACAATGACTCTTATTTAATGATAGGATGCTAAGTAAGGCCCTAGGTCATACTATAGGCATTCAGTCATGGTCTGTTTATTGCAATGCTGTATTGATTACTAATGGATGTATATTTAACCATGAATTTGCATGAATAGTATTGTGATAATGGCACTGTATAAAGTATGACCCATCCCAACAACATCATCGCTGTCCAAAGAAAAATCTTCAAAATGGCAACTTTAGGAGAGAGGCCAAAAATATTATTTAGTTTTAATGTAAGTTAATGCACAATAGTTTCATTCCAAGCGATTTTGGAGCATTCTGTTGATATTTCATCATGAAATCTTCACACAAAGTAAAGAGCAACAGCTGTGCTCAAATGTTTTTGGATAGTTATGATAGGTATAAGAACAATGGTTAAATATCAGAACTACAGCCCACATTTAGCTGCATATATATCCACATATTCCAGCTACAAGACAGGAACACATTGAGAGATACTTCTAGGTTCCACAGTTAAATGCATACACTTAAGCTGGTGGCCATGGTGAATTCATAGCTGTAAAGTGCTTCAACCTCCATGGGTCCAGATATTTATGAAGACTGCTGGGTTAGAGTGCTACAAGCTGGAGCACTAAGCCCAGTCACACATGCTCCCTCCCTCGACACCACGCACTCCATTATTCCATATCACTCGGGCTTTCATTGATGCCATTATCAGTAATGCAAGCACTTCACCGTGGACCAGCTTTTCACAAGAGCACTCACTGCATCGGGGGAAGAGTTGTAAATGCAATCATGAAAAAACTACGCGCTTTTTCAAACCTGGAGCTTCTCAGATTTAGTGCCATTCTTTCTCCGGCCATATCGCTGGAGAGTGGACCGTCTGTTATGGTCTGACCCTTTGCGATGCTAATGTAACATTTAAAGCTGGGGAGATAAGCCATGGCTCCATTTTGCCACAGAGCGCTCTCCACAGCTACCATGCTGATAGTTTTGACCAGCATGCGGCCTTGCCAAACACTCTGTAGACACACCAAACTTGTTACTCTCTGAATGTACAGAAAGAAGAATAATGCATTCTCCTTTCTATCCACCTGTTTTCTTCCATTTCCGCTCTGCATTTCTGCTACTATCCATGCAAACCAGTATTTCACCCAAAGTTATCAAGGTCATCCATGCCTAGACAGAGACTGTCCATGAAAAGCCAGACAGTTTAAACTCTGAACATGTTAAATGTGTTCTGACACATCATATTTGGCAGGTGACTGCCTGTGATTACACCAATTGAGTCCATTATTTTTGATTTTTTAGAGGAGGAATATTGCTCCACTAAGGCACATGCTTAAAAATAAAGGTGCCAAAAAGGTTTCCTTAGGGCAACTCTAAAGATAAACCACTTTTCATTCCCAAAAGAACCTTTCAGTGGATGTGTCTTTAAAGTGTGAAGATCCTTTATAAAATTTAAAGAACCTCTACAAGTTTAAAAGTTTTCCCAAATCTGCATGTCCAAGCCAAGAACCCATTTAGGAACCTTTATTTTAAGAAGTGCAGATGTTTCAAAATCTGTAATATTGAGTTCATATTGTAAAAAAAAACAATGACATGTAAGGCCAGAGGTACATACAAGCGCAGGCGCAGTGCAAAATGGGCCCACAATGCACCTAAATGCATTGTAAGATTCAGTAAGACAAGAGCTTAAACTATGCGTACCCCCACCCACTAACTGCTCAGTTGTGAGGGGTAAGGTTCAACAGGCACAGTGAAATAACAGCCGTTAACAAGCTTGAAACAAAACAGAAAATGAAAGTTCAGTGATGAACAGAGAACAGTGATAATAAATAAGTTTTTTTCCTATTAAAACATTCTTCAGAAGTGTTATTTTACTCCATGACATGACACAAACACACAGACTATGCACAGATATCACTGCCACATCCCACCACTGCGTTTTCTCACACATATATCTGGTCCTGAGAGTCTAAACAGCATTATTCTGATAGTAATCATTCGTTAGGCACATGTTTGAGGTACATGCCTCCATCTAACCACTGCGTATGCTGCCATTGTAAAAGGAAAGGCCTCTTTTGAGACCTCATGATAATTTATTCCTGATTTTAAAGATGGAGGTAAATTGACTCAAAACTGGTCACTGTGAGTTGCTCAAACTTTAGTACATCCAGCAGAATATGTAATTGGCAACATGTGTGATATCTCTTCCTTCTCGGTGCAAGAGTCAGTCATTATGTCAATCAGTTAGAAGCCGTTTCCAAGAGTTGGTTTGCATTACATCTAAATATCTGTACAATACCATTATGTGACAAAAAAATGAAACAAATTTATGTTAAAAAATCAAATTTCTTTGTTAAGTTTTGCCTGAAAACAAAGGATTTAACATTCAATGAAAAATTATAAGTTTTTTTTTCTCCATACTATCTAGGTAGATACCGCCAAGCAGCCACTCCCATTGGTTAGGACTTCAGGAGCCGACCTGAAGGCCTAACTTGTCAGATTAACCACTAACATAATTAGGAACTAACAGTGAAATCAACCATTGTATTGTCCAATCAATCTTGTGAGATAAAACTGATTCAATCAGTAAGTCAGTCAGTCAAATCCGTCAGTTAGAAGCAAGTTCCATGAGGTGCTTGACACCTAAACATCTGTACAATACTACTATGAGAGAAAAAAGTGAAAGCGGTAAAAATTAAGCATCTAACGAAACTATTCCATTACTATTCCAATAACAACTTAATTCATCCTATTTTTTCATAGAATGACAGTAAACAGCAACTTGGAGTTTCACCTGATTTGAACCATTACATGAAACATCTGTACATCAAAGGTAAATACTTTTCAAGCTGTGACAGAACAGTTAGATGTAGATGTAGTTAAAGTTGCATTTACCACTATTTCATAACCCTCCATCTTTCTCTCATAAATATGCCTCTTTTAGTCAAATAGGCCTTTCCTGTCAGCAAAATACAGATGATCCTTGACAGCTATTATACATTTTCAACAGAAAGTTGGGTTTTTGATGGATTTTCAGATGACTTATCAGCTGTGCTTCGCCCTGTTCTTTTATTTCCACACCCACACAGCTAGTACACTATGTCCAACCTTTTATTCTCGCGTCCAAGAAGTCTTCTCCAGCGTTTTTCCTTTATTCTTAAACTTTTGACACTGTGTGTTCGGATTGTGTTCCCTCTCTTGCCTTTCAATGAGCCGAGCAGGCTTCTGCCCACCGCAAAGCAGAACATTTTCATTAATTGGCAATGCCTGACTTGAGCTGTTCTACATTGCGACACTTTCTCGGGTTCTGTTCTTTGTGGTTCATTGCGTAGCCCATGCTAAAGGTGTCATCTGTGATTGATGCCTATATCTCATGCGCTGTACCATCTTGCTCGTGCTCATGCACTGGAAAAGCCTCTGTCACAAATTCATATCTAGGGAAGAGAATATATCTGAGGATGTTCTGAACACGATCCACAATTTCTTTTGCTAGTCATTGAGAACTAAATATCTCTATATGTAGTGTCTCGCTTTGATGTGTGTATATATAGATATTGGTATATTGGTAATACTCTAAAAATTTTAAATGCTTGTTTTCAGAATGCTGAAGTGTAAGCTGTACCAAATCGTTACATGAAAATGTATCTTGAAATGAGTGCAGTCATAAAAAATGGACACACATTTCATATAGGGCTGCAACTATTGAAATATTTTCAGTTTTTAATAATCTTTCAAATAATATCCTGAATATAAAAATTTTAGTAACAGCATAGAAACAAAAACATTTTTATACTTATTG